GCCTGGGTCGGGACCAGACCTTGGTCCAGGGGCAGCCGCTGGGGCTTTGCTCTGTCGTGGCCCTCTTTCCAGCTCACACCTCTTGATTCCTGGCCACTCTCAGCAGCATAGGGAGGGAGTTTGAAGAGTGCTAGAGGGGTGATGGGGATGCGTTCTAGTCGAGTCTTCAAGGACCATCTCACTGCCCTGAGAAGCGAATCAGCCCCCCTACTCTAGAGGACCAAACCCTGAAGTGAACCACATTAATGCTGGTGTCAGGGTGCGAAACCCTTATTAGAAATGGCGGGTTCGGCCGGTGGGGGTGCTGAAGGGCAGACGCCCCAGGGATCTTGGGGAACGACGGTAGGAAAGAGGAGCCTGCCGGCGCCCTAAGCCGGCCTGGGATGGGGGAGGAGCAGGGAGCCGGGTGGCGGAGGCTCCGGGAACTTTCGGGGAGCTCTTGGAGAAGTTTGTATATTGGAATTTTCGGTCCGTAGAGATTCTTCGTTTCACTACCTCTTCTGCTTCCCGGTCTCCGCGCCAACCTGTTTTCTTTCTGCAGGGATCCTCCCACCCGCTCGCGTATGGAAGGGAGGCAAGACTTAGTTTTATAGTGGGATGTTTCCTAAGTCAAACCCCAAATCCCAGTGCCCGGGCGCCCACTTTAGCAGATTAAGGCGTGTAGCCGACAGCAGAATGGAAATTCCCGGGATTGCGGCGGCTTCGGGCTAAACGCTTTAGGCCGCTGCGGCAACCTACGCACAGGCCAGGCCTGCAGCAGGAGCGCCCCGGGGACAACACCGGGACGACGACTGTCTTGGAGTTCCCAGTCTCGGCTCGGAGGCGAAAACTGGCCGCCGAGTGCTGATTGATAGAGGAATCGAATCCGAATTCCACCAGAATGGAGGGATCGGGGAGTCTTGGCCCCGGCTGTCTCTGGTCTCAGCAGCTCCGGGGAACCTCATTCGGGAATGAACTCCCGCGAGCACCCGGTTTTGACCCCACCCCCACTCCCTGCCTCTTTCCACCAGTTTTCACGCAGGTGGGCGGCTCCAGTAGGTGTGAAGGCCAAGAAAATTGGGGGGAACAAAGTTTGGGGGCAGCTAGGTTTGGGGTTCGATTGGGGAAACTAACGTGGGACAGTCTCATATTGGGTCACAGTACTTCCCTTAGCCCCTCCCCACCTACTTTTGCCTGGTGCCAGGCATTGGCTTTAGCTGGAGTCTTCCCAGAAAAGGAGGTATCAGTGGAAGCTCTGGCTTTGAAATGTTTCCCTGGCGCCTGATTTCGTTTTCAGTTAAATCTCAGCGAAGTGGCATAGGGAATCATGGGCTCATCTCGTGAAAAATGTCAGGGTTACAAAACTGAGGGTAGCATTATTTCTCGGAGTATTTCCTAGGTGTCAGACCCAGAGCCTCGGCGGCCCTGAAATCCTAGAGTTTGTACAAAGTGGTGGCACCAGACCAGGGAGGAGCCAAGAGCGAGATTTTGAGGTGGGGAAACTGGGAGTGCGCTGGGCCGCTATTTAACTCACCTCTTCCAGAAGGAAAAGAGAGAACAAGGAACCCCAGAGATGCTTCTTCCGTCCTCATTAACCAGCTATCGACCTGGCTGCGTCGGACTGCGGGAGGCGGGAAAGAGGCTACGGAAGGGGCGAGGCTGTTCTCAGTGAACTAGCCACGCCGGGTCGGGGGCGCTCGTGGCCCAGAAGGTGAACCGCTAATCCAGATGCGGACCCAACAGCCTCGGTTAGATACCTCCAGGCGCCCCAGGTCCCAAGCAGAAGCAGCCTCTCCGCTAATCTAGTCTCCAGCTGAGATCATCCCTGCCCTGGCCCGGGCAATCTACGCCCCACGTCTGGACTCAGCCCTAGTCAGCCGAGCCCCGACGTGGCACTGGCTCCCCAGTTCCACCGTGTCAGTGGATCCCGGCACTGTACTGAGCTCGCGGGTCCGAGGACAGCCAAGCCTTTCCCAGGGATTTTTAATCCACGAGATAGGGTCAAGTGACACTTGCACAGGGAGGAAAAGCAGGTGCAGGGGAAGCTGATTTGGGAAAGGCATGCGCGCAAAAAAGCGCAGCACGCGAACTCTTCTCCATCATCTCGCTTTCTTCCAACATTCCCAGAGCACAAAGCCCTGCGGAAGCTTGCCCTAGACTCTCTCCTAACTCTACCCAGGGTGTGAGAAATGCACGGGGGGTGTCCAGAGCACTCGCTTAGGGCGCACAGCAGCGATCTCTGGTCTCGCACCTGGGGCCGCGCGGCTCGACGTGTGCCCCGCCAGACTCAAGGGCTGCACCGCTCGCTGTACACAAGCCAGGAGCCACCAGGCCCTCTTCCTGCCCCTGACCCTGCCCCCTCCTCGTCCAGCCCCATGGTACCCACGCGTCCCCTCGGGGGCGCCGCTGTAGCCCTAAGCCTCCCCAAGGCCCATCTCCTGTCCTTCCCTGCCAGGCCCGAAGTCCTCGGACTGCAGTGCGGGCTGGCGATCCCTCCGCTTCCTGCAGACGCAGCGGCGCACGCTCCCACTGCTCCCTCCCCCCGCGCTCGGGTTACAGGTTAATGAAATGCTCGTTTTCCTCAGTCATTTGTTTTGTTTTCCTGCAAAGTTCTGATAAGTAGCTAACCAACGAAGCTTGTAATTACAATCTTACAGAAACCGGGCCGATCTGTATATAAATCTCACCATCCAATTACAAGATGTAATAATTTTGCACTCAAGCTGGTAATGAGGTCTAATACTCGTGCATGCGATAATCCCCTCTGGATGCTGGCTTGATCAGATGTTGGCTTTGTAATTAGACGGGCAGAAAATCATTATTTCATGTTCAAATAGAAAATGAGGTTGGTGGGAAGTTAATTTCTCTCCGCTCTGTGAAGCGTAGACAAGAATTTAATGATTTAATTACAGTTGTAAGCCCTTTCCATGAGACTTAAATTGAGCTGAGAATATTTTTTTCTTTCTCTCTCTCTCCCTCTCTCTCTCCTGCGTTCTCTCTCTCCGCTATTAGCAGCCGCGTGGACGCTCGAGTCGTGGCCTGGTGTCCGCACTGGAAGGGATTTGTATCTGGCCAGGGATCCGGACCCCGAGTATCCCAGGAAGCGCGGGCCCGTGGCCTCCAGAGCCGCCCTGGAACGGGCTGCCGCTCCCTACCAGCCGCCAGGGCCTCGGAGCCCCTCCCTGGGTCCCGAGAAGCGACGGCGAAACTTTGGGAGAAACTTTGCCAACTTTGCTTTCGGCGAGGGAGAGGCTGCCCGAATGGCCCGGCCAGCGGCTGGCCAAGAAGCGCGGGGTGGGCGCCCAGC